TAATTTTTAGCATACTACTTATCTTGTGCAATTTTGGCTATGGCAGCTCGCAGAATCTCATCTCTTCTCTCTCGATCTCTGCCTCTGATCCCTACCGGTGGTATGTTGTAACACACTTAGAAATCCATACACAAAAATATACGTCTATATATACAGATGCATTATTATATAAAGAGCCACACAGATGTAAAGATTGCGTTTTTATTTATTTTGACAAAAGGGCTTTGGAGTTTTGTGGAAAAGAAGAGAAACGTTTTTTTTTTTTGGGGTTTAATTGATTGGATCATTGTTTGGAAGTAACTTCTTGGTTGTTTATGAACGTTTGATGGCAAGAATGGTTTAGTTATATGAATTTTTGACTGATTGCAATGGAGATGAGTCTAATTGTGTTAAGAAAAGTCTTGATTAGATTATGTGCTATACAGTTTCTTGATTTTGGGACAAAAAATTGATGCAGAGAAAAAGGAAAGAAAAATGAAATAACTAAAAAATTATCATTTATGTTATCACTTGATTGATCTGCATTTGACGAAGTTAGCTGCCGGATGCGATTTGGTCAAACGTAGAACATGACAAATTATCAAATGCATCTTTAATGAATTGGTATCAAGTGTTCAACATTCTGAAAGCGGTGTAAAATTTGTTAGGCCATCTGTCTAAGTCTTCTAGGATGCGGTCTCTTTCTATTAGGCGGTGAATCAAGGAACTTGTAGAAAAATACACAAAAATTTGATATCTGCTTCTATGGAAAACTTGCACTTTCCAATGCTGATTAATTGCATAAAGGAATACTTAATAGAGTTTCATTGAGATTTTTGGTTGATGTGATGAATTATGAGTAATTCTATCTGGCTTCTCAATATTAAGGGTCTGCTCGCTGCTTCTGAATATGACACGAGCAATACTTTTCATTGCAAGAGTTCCCTCCGATAGCTTCTAAATTTTCAATCTCTGAAACAGCCATATTATGTCTTTGCGATTTATCACTGCCTTCTTTTTCTTTTATGCGTGGATTACATTATAGCATAAAAACTATCATGTACAGGGAAAAAATCTCATTTCGGCAGAAGAATTTACCGGTACAGCACAGCTGCTGCTCTTGAAGATCCAATTAAGCCACCAGTTACAGTAGAATATGATAAGCTTCTTATCAATGGACAGTTTGTTGATGCAGCATCAGGTACCCATTTCTATCCATATCATTGATGTAATAAGGTACCATAATCATCTGTTAGCGGACACTTCATTTCAAACTCTTAATCCATCTTTCAGTTGATGTAGCTAACTCCATGAACTTTATGAAATCAGGGAAAACATTTACAACTTTAGACCCCAGGACAGGTGAGGTAATAGCACATGTTGCCGAAGGTGATGCAGAAGATATCAATCGAGCTGTAGCTGTTGCTCGTGAGGCATTTGACGTGGGACCATGGCCTAAAATGACTGCTTATGTAACTATTCGTGTCACTGATTAAATTCTATGACTCTTTGATGCAGAAATCGGGAAACGAAAACCTAATATAATTCTCTTATACCTGCAGGAGAGATCAAAGATAATGTTGCGCTTTGCTGATTTGGTTGAGAAGCATAACGATGAAATTGCTGCTCTCGAGACTTGGGATAATGGCAAGCCATATGAACAGTCTGCTAATATTGAAATACCAATGTTCGTCCGACTATTTCGTTACTATGCTGGTAGGTCATCGACAAAATGAAAGAACACAAATTGCGATGACAAGATTTCTCCTCTACTCAGACGAATTTACCTGATTCCTGTCCATGTTACACAGGTTGGGCAGATAAAATTCATGGTCTCACCATTCGAGCTGATGGTCCCCATCATGTTCAAACTTTGCATGAACCAATTGGTGTTGCTGGCCAGATTATCCCATGGAACTTTCCTCTACTCATGTTTGCTTGGAAGGTAGGGCCTGCACTTGCATGTGGCAACACCATTGTTCTGAAAACAGCAGAGCAGACACCACTATCCGCTCTCCTTGTGTCAAAGCTATTCCTTGAGGTAATTTTGAACCAATTACCAGACTTTCATGCTATGATGTCATTTCTGTGGCTTCTGCTTGAATTGGTTCACTCATATGCCAATGAAATGTGAATTTCAATAGAATAATTTTACTCAAGCTCTGTAAGTTGTCTTATCTTAGGTGTTTCACCGTACAAATGAGGTTTTAGTCATCTTGATCTACTGAATTGATATAATAGGCGATCTGGTTAATCTATCGAAAGTATGTTTTTGTTTCTTGTTTTGTTCCGGAGTATGTCAGAAGTTCTGGAATGCTCCTTCTGCGACATGGT